TTATCTTCGAAAACGAAGGCGTGCAGCTCCTGGAAAAAGATGCGTGCCAGTTTCGGAGGTGATAAGGTGTAGAACGCAAAGCGATGGGCAGCTGCCACCTCGGTGACGTCGTAGCAGAGCGTTGGAAACATCTTTTTGAGCATCGCGTTGCACTGTCAGCGCAGCGCGCTAAAACGCTGCATTCCTTAGAGTTACTTGCGTGCGCATCTTCTAGTATAAAGGCTGACATACAAAACTTCTATGTGTTGTTATGGCGCCTCAGATATGTGCAATAATTGCTTTTTAATTAACAATCGCACAACTATGAGCGCTAAACCTTGAGCAATATTGGTGGACGCTGCGAATGGGGTTGGCCGTTCGGTGCCGTTTGAGGTATCGTTAGGGCAGACAAACAGACAAATGTACATACAGACAGACCAACATTTTTCCGTTGAAGGTCCCCAAGAAAGACTATCGTCTTTAAAAGTTCCACAGCATACAGCGTACCAGCTGTAGACGTTAAACGTAATACGAAAAATAAATGCACAGCATACACACAACAACGGCCAAGTATGGTACACTGATTTCAACATGCAAGTAAAGAAAAAAGAATTTAGGGCACAAAGTCCTTAAACCGGGACGGTTTTTTACGCAAATGTTTAGAGCGCCGAAGCACATTGCACTCTGAAGTGCTCCTTTGCGGAGCAGCAAGCTCTGTTTGTGAAGATAAGCCTACCGGCTCGCTTACGCGCTGCTCAGGCTCAGCTGAGAGCGTGAAGGGATAGCTTGAGTCTGACGACTCACTTAAGCATCCCTCAGTTGTAACTGGGGTCGGAGAAAAATTACGCAAAACATGGGAACCTGACGGTTCGGAAGCATGTCCGTTAGCGTTATGAACCATACTGGCATGGGGACTGAGCACGTCAGTCGAGCATTGATATACGGTGCCTGGAAAGAGTCCGATGACTCTGAAGCGTGTTCGGCACACGGTGAAACTTATTGGTGACTGGACACTACAGCAGGTCATCGAACCAGTGCCCGAATACAATCTCACCCAGGAAAAGATTGTGATGCTACAGGAATAAGGATAGAAATTTGTAACAACAGTACTGAAAGTTGGGCGAGTTGGTACTCATTCATGACTTGCGCCCGTGTTGTTTGCCTCTTTTCCTTGTGTCCTTGTACGTGTTTGCGCAAAGAAGTCATGAATAAGGATAGGAACCAAGCGTGGAACCGAGGCAGATAATTGCGAGGGAATATGCAATGGTGTTGAAGAGGGTCCAAGAGTAGGGGTTTCTCGTTCTGAATGGACAATGACTAGGTTAAAAACATTCCCAACTGACTGAATTTGAACGCATGGGAACCAACCGAAGACATAACAGTAAGCGAACCTCTATACTTATGTTTGTTTCCCAGCACCCGAACTTTCATTTTATAGCCAACCTGAATAACTGGTGGTTTCGCACCTCGTTTCTCGTCAACATAATTCTTCATATAATTCAGCCTACTAAAGACACGCGTCCAATTCTGCCTATTAAAGACACCATGCGAACTGCGCACCGAGTGGGTCGTAGGCTGCTCCGACCCATTACAAAAAGCTCATTTTTCTTCGTCGTCAGCCACAGCATTAACAAAGTGCACATGATGCCTTAGAGTTGTGTAGTGGGCGCTACGCTTGTCCGAAGAATGACCAATAATAGTATCGTGGTCGCTTGAAATAGTTTATAGCGTAGTGGGTACCATGCAAGAGCGCTTGTACTATTGCCCCAAAAGTGTGTAAAAAAGCTTTAGAAAGACCGATCTTTCAACTTTTGCTGTGACTGTGCTTCGGGATCCGCGCCGGCCTGGAGTTTTAGGGCCGAAGCTCCTTACGCCGTGGGTCGAATGTCCCTTGTCGTAGTCATAGTAATCACCTCTCGTTTAGTCCTTGAATCGTCCGCTGGATGGCGGTTCTTGTATGTGATGTATATATGATAAAAAGATGCGAGATGGTGGTACTTGGAGTGTTCACTAAATGGACGGACAGACGCATGGATGACAGACAGACGGACGGATGCTCAACCCCAATTATCATCATTCACTAAGTGGATATGCTGTGACTTTTTTTTCTTCTTCGAACGTGTGGCTTACCTTCAGCGTGGTTGCGAGCAAATGCGTGAGTATGTGGCGACATTACGCGGTGGCAGCGGCAACTATGCAGCTCAAGATGTACAAATCAGCTAATAACCGGTAACTGGGTTTTTGGCGCCGTAATTTGGGTATATGGGATGATTTGTCAAGAGAAGAGGGAGCGATTTCTGGTTGACTCTGAGAACTTCTCGTAAATTTGAGGCCGCATAATGCGCTATAACGTTTGGCTGATGTGTTCTCAGGAGCGTTTGTAACCGATCTGTAGCGTTTGAGGACAAGTTGAGAAAAGTGCTCGTGCGGTCGTTGTTCCTTTTCGCTCAATAAACTTCGCTTGTACCAATAGAGAAGAATGCCCTTGGTGGGGGAAGAGGCGGACAATTTGTCTATTTTACACACGTTTTTTAGAAGAAGAAAACATGGCAGTGGGGCTGCGTCTTCTGCACGAGGCAAAAGCGGGTGCCAGCGCGTGCAAGCGGGTGCAGCGTGGCTTCGCGAGCCAGTCGCCTCGGTGGATTGGAACCGGCTGGAGGTCTCGAAGGACACCGGTAGCCCTGTGAGTATCCCAAGCCTGCTTGGCCTTGCGTGCTTGCTTCGGCGCGGTAGCTGACTCGTTAGGTGAGACGCTAACTGCTTAGCCTGCAGTATACCCTAGACCGCTTGTAGGACACTGGTAGCCTCGTGAGTAAACCCTAGCCCGCTTGCCCTTGCGTGCTTGCTTCGGCGCGGTAGCTGACTTGTTAGGTGCGATGCTAACTGCTTGGCCTATAGTGTACCCTATAGACAGCTTGTACTCACGTACTAGCTTCCGTATAGCTGCTGATTGCCCAGGTGCTGCCGAGCCAATTAAATTCTGCTAGGCCTAGTTGATTGCCCTCGCGCGGCCGAGCCCATCAGGTTGGGCGGCTAGGCGAGGCCTAGTTGGCAGGCCAAATGCTTGACTTAGCTGCTGAAAATATCTAAGCCATTGCCAATGGTTAGATGCTTTTCTGTGAAGCTAACCACGGAGGCACGGCTTCAGAGCTACATCGTTTCACTTTCATCAGGCTGTTTAGCTGGCGACGAAGCAGAAGAGTCGTGTTTCACATACAGGGCGTTTCAAGAAATGTGTCCAATATTCTTTGAAAATTACAGAAAGGAGGTATCTGCATGCTACTTGCGGCGTTGCTTTCCTGTAGCAGAAAGCATCTTCAGATGGGTGCAAACATTAATTACAGCAGTAGTTGTAGAAATTAACACAATTTACTTTTTAACCAGTGGTAATAGCCGGTCGAGTCAAATGAGCGAATTCAAGTCCTTCCTCCGAATAGTTCATAGCCCCTTTGAAATTTCGGAAGAGTTCCACTGGTAATCACCGCGGAGCGATGCAATCTGGCCAGTTTAGCTGGCGGAACCGAAACCGACGCACCAAACAGCGCATATCTGCCATTCACATCGACAATACCCTCAATTACGACACTGTTTCCTTCGCGTTGGTGGATAAAAATAAGCGAGCGTCGATAAGCGGCTTCGAAGCGAAGTGTCTAAATTGACGGTTGATGGCGGTGAGGGAAACAGTGTCGTCAGTGAGGGCGTTGTCGAAGTGAATGGTAGATGCGCTGTTCGACGCGTTGGTGTTGATTTCTCCAGCCAAATTAGGCTCATTTCATCGCTCAACGGTGATTACCAGTGGCCGCTTTTCTAAAATTTCAAAGTGGCTATAGAATATTCGTAGGAAGGGCTTGAATTCGTCCGTATGACTTGACCGGCTATCACCGCTGGTTAAAAAGGTAATTGTGTTTATTTCTATAATTACTGCCGTTATTGGTCGTACGCACCTGAAGATGCATGCCTTCTTCCACAGGAAAGGCAACGCCGCAAGTAGTACACAGGCGCCTACTTTCTCTGATTTTCGTAGAAGATTGGACACATTTTTTGAAACACTCTGTATGATGATTTCATTTTTCATTCATTCTGTACTGCGTCATGTACCGCATGAAGTTGTGACTCTACAACCGAGGAGGTTGTGGTCACAGGAAAAAAAAAGTCTTTATGAAAGATGGCTCCAGTTGTGGGATATTTATTTTTGTCGATGGTTTTCTCGAGCGAAACTTGCAAGTAACGCCTGCTAGTTAAATCTGCCAATTTATATATGTGGTATTGGGATTGGTTCGGCCGGGTTTCGATTCTGGGTTTTCGCCCTCAGTGGGCGCTTCACGGGGATATTTAGGACCGTGCATGGGAAGAAGGAAGTTTTCCACCCGGGTCACGTGTGCTGTCCGTGACTACTCATTCTTCCCGGCCCGTGCTTCGGGCCAAGCCTCATGTTATTCTCAGTGTGTCGCGTCCGCCGCACGATACAACTGCATTTGTATCGTGCGATGGACGCGACGCCTGGAGAAAATGAGGCCCCGTCATAAAATGACACAGGCACAGGATAAAATGGCACAGCAGAGACCCGGATGGAAAGTCTCTGCTATGTACACGAGAACATATATGCTAGGGTTACTGTATATGTTACATTTAGGTAGCATATACAGTACAATTATACGACGCCCTCTGGGGTCAACCAACTGGTTCCGGTGCTAACCACAACACGTTATTGATTTTTTACTCGATTTCTCTGAGTAGCGGTATGTAGCAGTCCTCATCGGCAAAGTAGAATATCTGCTAGAAGATGCCGAAATCAATTTTTATGGGTTTTTACTTCGGAAAGCAGCCTCTGGGAGTAGAAATTTTACATGTTTGCGCCCCGTACTAGGCTTGATAACATGGGTGCTAACGCAGAATGAGGCCTGTAGCGTGAAAAAATACAAAGAAAGTGCAAAGGGCGACAATAGCATCGCAGAATGTGCTGCTCTGAGGGTTATATCAAACGACCTTTTTGCTTCTTGTGCGTTTCAGATTGCTAGAGGATGAGTTACCCAACGGCTCCAGGATATGAGGCGTACGCCGCCGCCGTAGGGCAGAGCTATCCTTTAGGCAACCAGGGCTACCACACATCAGGTATGCAGCAGCAGATGCCGTCGCAGGCATACACGTCCATCCAGAATGCCCTGCAGGCTGCTGTTCTCGAAGCACAGCAGCAACAGCAGCAGCAGTACGCCATGGCAAACCAGAACTACTATCAAAACGCAACGGCTGCCGCCTACCAGGCGGCCGCAGCCCTTCAGCAGGAGCAACAACAAAAGCTATTTGAGCAACAACTGCAACAACAACTACAGCTACAGCAGCAGTACGCGCGCCAAGCCCAGATGTACCAGAACTACCCGACGCAGGCCTACTTCATGCCATACACCAGCTACGTGTCATACCAGCAGGTACCGGGCTTCCCGGCTTCCAGAAGCTACGGAGCAGCCCAGACGGGGTACCCGCCAAACGGAACAACGGGATTCTCGGCTAGCTGGCCAGTTGCATCTACTAGTACTGGTGGTTCGTGTTGCCAAGCAACCTCATTTCTTTCTGTAGTTTGACGCATGAGATCGGGCGTCACCCACAAAACTGTTAGCACCATTCTCAGCTGGCCGCGTCGTAAAAATTGAGAACCTTCGTGACAGTTTGATTGTTGGGTTAAGATAACGCTTTAAAAAAGTGCCAGCAGTAGCGTTGCAAGCATTGCCCCTCAATAGTGCACGAAACCCACCGAAAGTGGTTTGACGATTCTTAGTGCTCATGAGCGACCTTTTTGTTATTTGTTAATTGTTTTAGGATTATATTATTTGTTTTCAAAGAAATATAACGGTAGTTATATTCGATATACAGTCTTTAGCCCAACCACGTATGGTACCTATACAGTCCAGGTGATGTTACTTGGCGTAAGTCTGCGACAACTTTATAGCGTGTTTCACTAATAGCTTCTGTATATTGCAGTACCAGAGTAAGGTGTCACTGGCAACGATAATGGTTCATTGGCTTACCCGCTTAACTCAGGTGGTTCGTTCAAACTGGGATCAGAACTGGTTAGTGACATAACTGCGTAAAGATATGGACCTCCACTCGATGACGTATTATAATAAAAGGGCAGGACATCAAGCTCCTTGTGTACGACACATCACCACGCCACGCGACGCAGAACAAAACTTGGTAAGCGCATGCTCTATCGCAGATGTACACAATTATCCCGCAGCCGCATGGGCGTCTTTCTATGCTGGTGCTTTGAGGATCGCCATTAGCGCAGTTCAAGGCGTCACGTATGCATGATGAACGAGATAAGAGTGGCGAGAAAGTCACCGACAGTTTTCAGTGCATCGATGTCAAAGAGAAAGCTTGACTATTACTCTCCGTTCCGCCTATATTAGCCAATGCGCGCACGTAGCTGTTTAGTGCAAAAGCTAGTGCGCGTGCATACAGTGCACTCCCGCTGCAAAATGGGAAACGCTGCTCTGGTTGTGGCCTTATTACTTATCGTGGCGTCATTACTTTTCACAGTCAAAGAAACTTCACCAATCTCGCGTTTTTCGAAACCTCTCGCAAGCATAACCGAAACCTTGACAATAGTTGGGGTGGCGGTGGTATGTACAGGTGTTGAGCATTCTTGTTTTCGCTATCGCACAAAAAACAATTATTTAATGGACGACGAAAAAAATGACAATCGAGGTGCTGGCTTAAAAATAATTTATTTATTCGAGTAAATGAGCCTAACCGCCAACATATTTCTTAGTTTTCGTGTATTTAGGTAGCAGCACCAGTTGACATGTAATCCCTTGCCCCATTCTTCCGTTTCTTAGCGGTGATTTGCGGAAGTGAACTATACGGTGCGGGTATGCAGTAGCGGACTTGAACACATCCCGTTTCAGGAGAACGGCTCATGTCGATCTCGCTTTGAAGTCTTGGTATGTAAAAGAATCTGTAGTCACGCAAAATTTCACGCTTCGAGGCGATTCACACGACACCTTGTGTTTTTTTTTTGTCTTGCGCAGACAGGCAATCAAGAAGTCCATGGGCCGCTTACCAGCCAGCGGCCGGGTCGTGGGCATCTCGGTACGTTTCGCCGCAGAACGCCGACGCTGGTCGCCGAAATTACTACTACAGTAAGTGCCGTCATGTGACTCCTTATCTAAAAAGACAGCGGTCGCAAGTAGTCCGCCTCGGTGGATCAGTGGCTAGGGCGCTTGGCTGCAGACCTAAAGGTCGAGGGTTCGCCGCGGTGGTCACGTTTCGATGGATTCAAAGTGGTAGAGGCCCGTGCGATGTCAGTGCACGTTAAAGAACACCAGAAGGTTAAAATATCCGGAGTCCTCCAGTACGGCGTCTCTCATAATCATATCGTTTTGGGACGTAAAAAAACGCATAATATTATCATTGTTAGCAGTCACCCATAAGGGCTTTGAGAAAGTTTCGTCAACTTCTTTAACTTAGTTTGCGGTCGCGGGCCCCTTAGAGTGAGAGATGCAAAAAAAAACTTTTTATTTGAATTGCTCAAAAACGGCGGGTGGGGTTCTCAGTCCAGAGCTCCAACAGCCGCACCCCGTGCCCGACGAACCAGCGCCCGCTGGTCACTCGCGTTTTCGTTACGCAGCATGGCCTCCCTGGCGTGCGTAAACTGCTTGTGCCCAGTTTACGCACGCTGCTGCGTTGACTCGTCGACACTGAAAACAGCCTATAAAAGATGGACCCCTTTCTATGACACGACCGCTGTCTAACATTTCAGTGGGGCCCCGCTGCGGTGGTCTAGTGGCTAAGGTACTCGGCTGCTGACCCCCAGGTTGCGGGATCGAGTGCGGGCTGCGGCGGCAGCATTTTCGATGGAGGCAGAGAAGTGCTGTAGGCTCGTGGGCTCAGATTTGGGTGCACGTTAAAGAACCCAAGGTGGTCAAAATTTCCGGAGCCCTCCACTACGGTGTCTCAATCATTTGATGGTTTTGGGGCGTTAAACACCACCTATCAATCAAACATTTTAGTGGGGTTGTACGAGGCGTTTTTCTTCAGACAAATTTTTAATAAAATATTCATGGCAGTCAAACCCTTGCCGTTTTTGCACTGAAACTCCACGTCGATTCGGAAATGCTGAGCCGCAACTAAAATGACATTGACGTGAATAGCAAATAGTCGTTGATTAACTTTAAAAATATTCACTTAAGGACAGTCGTTTATTTTGGAAACATGAGTATGGCAATCAATGGCGCATGTATTTTTTTTAGAAATCACTCAGGTCCGCTCGTAATTCCAAACACTCATAATCAAATGTTCTAGGTGATATCCAAACTGTCGGCGCCTGTCGCGCGGGAGACATGGTCTCTCTAATACGTAAGACTGGTACTAACGTGGCTAGGAAGTGACAAGTTAGAATCAGGGATCGCTGGAACAGAATGTGTTCAAGAAAATTGTCCAGCAATCTGAAATACATAGGAGCTTATTCATTAAGCGCGATGTGTGGTGCTGATACCTTTATGCAAGAAGCGCCACAGTGGCCTGCTCTCGAGTTCTATGCTTCTGAGGGAAAAAAGTTGATGTTATGGTTTTCTTGCACACAAATAGAAATAGAACACTAAACATCACACGCAAAAGCAAGGTGATCCGCTGGCACAAGTGAGATGTGATAGACGTCCTGGCGCTTTTCACAAAATCGTATAGCCACGATGCGTTTTCGTTCGAATTTCGTTTCTTCCTGGTCACGGGTATGTTCCGGCCTGACATAGCAGCAGAGTGTATGGTGGAGTTTCGTGTGCGTCGGGTGCGACCAGTTTCCATATAAACCTTATAATTGAATGAAGTGCATGTATCTCAAATTACGTGCTACTTTTGTGATGTCTAAAAATGGGCATGCCATAAATTTTTATGCACTACAACTTCCCTTCTATCAAACCGGCACAATTTCCAAGGTTTTTTAAGCAACCTAAGTTTTTTTGAACCAGTTCTTGCTATAGGGCCCATGTCTGTTACGTAATTCCACCGAGTTTTACAAGAGTCTATGTGCAGAATCTTTGCTTTCTTGGGTACAATAGTGCTCTATCGCGTAGGCCAGTTCTCAGCACACCGAAGTTTCACAAAAGTTCGTGCGGTTCATCTCGGGCGCCGTTATGCCTATGCAATGGTGCAGTTTCAGGATTGAAGTTTAGTTCATTTAATCAAAGTACGAGGACTGGCGCTTCTAAGAGCTTATCGCTTTCTTTGGTGCATTTTGGTGTATTGAGCTGCTTTTGAATGAAGCTGTACTGTGTCTCCAAATTTAGTGACAAGATGTGTTCGAACAGACACAAGGAAACTAATACTTCGTTGCATATGAGAAGCCAATTGTGTTCTCTTGCACGGTGTTTAAATGCGAAACATTTCCTAGTGAACTGCAGGCACTTTGATTGTTCATATGTAGTTATTTACCTACGTCTGGGTGCTCTTGTGATCACCTCCTCAACACAAGGAAGACGAAAATCAGTATGGATGGTAAGAGGGTCTGAGGTATATGTCTGACAAATCAGTACACGAATAACGCAAACATCCTGTCGTGTACGTCGTAAATTTTTTTCCTCCTAACTCGTGGGGCCATGGTAGACGGGTGTGCATGACACGTGGACATTTTACATCAACCGAGGTACGACGAGCACAGACATTGGATATCTAAATGCGAGAGCGCTAAGAAAAACTGACATCAGCAGCGTTGACCCGACGAATGAAAATAATAAACATCGGGGCCCCAGCAGGAATCGAACTCAACTGTGCGTGGCAATCAAGTATTCTACCACAGAGCCACGCCAGGTCTTGAAAGTGCTACCGAGAAACACCCTTTGCAGGCGTAATATTAGTGAGGCATCAATTGTGGTTGCAGTGCTGGTTACCTAATTTTATAAGCATTACATATGTATTCATTCTAAAAGTAAAACGTGGGGCGCTGTACGGAACAGAGACAATAGAAGAGAACGAGTCATTCCAAGTGTGCTCCACTTTTTTGCATTTAGAAAGAATCGTTACCAACGAGCCCAAGTGGTTGTTTTGCTACATCACATATGTACTCGTATGATACAGGTGTCACGTAGGTTTAGTGTCAGTGGTATACCTAAGGGCCAGCCACTGGAGTTTGTCTACGTAGCATTAGCCAAGACTATTATCGTCGCAAGCACAAGAGCTACATATAAACTGCCGCTTCTGGTGTCGGTGAAAGCCATGCATGCTGGTGTCGTTACAAAACAACTGGTTATATACAACATATGTGACTGTTCAACATGTCTGTGTGGTCCGCCTCGGTGGATCAGGGGCTAGAGTGCTCGGCTGCTGAACCGAAGGTCATGGGTTCGATCGCGGTCGCGTAGGTTCCATTTCGATGGAGGCGAAATGATAGGGGGTCATGTATTGTGTGATGTCGGTGCACGTTATAGGACACCAGATGGTCGAAATTTCCGGAGACCAGTGCCATGGCGTCTGTCATAGTTATATCAGCGTTTCGGGACGTAAAACACCACTTATTCATATTATTATTATTATTATTATTATTATTATTATTATTATTATTATTAACATATATGTGCGTATGTTTAGCGTCCTTTCATAACGTTTCGTGCAATGAAAAAAATTCCCACCGCATGCTTCGTACATCACTGATTCCCATGATACATGGACTCTGACGAAATTTTAAAATTTGTTTTTTCTTATCGTTATTATCTTGACACTACGGACAAACTAAATCAAATTACCACCCTGTCAAATATAACTGCAGGAAGCAAAGTGGTTTAAGGAAAGCATTCTGTAATATAGCTTCGATGTGGGTTGTTAAAAGCTTCGGATCCACTAGATTCGGCTGTTGGGCGAAGCCTACGTGTGAGCGTCACAGAGCCTCAACCATTCTTCTAACTGAAGGACAACCTTGCACTGTTTCTGCAATCAAACGTGAATTAATCTTCAAACGCACTTTCCGGGTATCGCAGGTAGCAGATACCCAAGCGGAAACAGCTACCATTCAGGATACGGCGTTCCCAACGTCCCTGGTCCGTCTGGCTACCGTACGCAGAGCTACGGATACCCACGGTCAGGTGCCCACCCAGCGCCGACCCGTCATCCTCAAGGACGATAAAGGGCGGAGCCGTCCTGTGCTTGGACCCCAACCTCCACAGACGTGGAGACGTGGACGAAGGGAACGATCCTGGCTTGAAGGGCCACCCGGCCAGAAAATTATAGTAGTACCGAGGCACTGAGGGGCAGATGTTTTCATTAGATGTTGGTGTATATTAAAAAAATTAACAGCTTCGCACTCGTAGTGCCAAGCTGTCTTCCTTTTGCATTTCTCTCTATAATTTTTGTGTCCTCTTGCTTACTACATTTTTCTTTTATACTTTATTCTGTTTATTTCAAGCAATGCTTTACTGTCTTCCTCCTGCTTTCTCTCCGCTTCACATATCTATCCTCGTTTTCATTTGGCTCCCTTAGTATACTACGTCATACAAGGTTATGTTATGCTCAGCTAGCATGCCTGGATAACCGAGTGGATGCGATGCCCACCTTTGGATCGTGCGTACGAGGGTTCGAATGCCGCCTAGCCAAGAATTTCTCCTTCCATATCTATCTCTAATCATTCTGTCTCCCATCAGGGTTAATGCAGGTCATGCCAAAATAATCGGCACACGTGCCTTGCTGGGAGCGAAGAAGAAGATGACGAAGAGGATGAAAAGAGCGAGTGCTGGTGTATGGTAATGATAATTTTTGTTGACCCGTCATGGACCAAAGCTACCGCTCGGGTGATGCGTGTGTGAGGCCCCCATTTTCATAATTAGCAACGTCCTCCGCATGACTACAGGTTGTCTCTTGCTGGACGACATGCAGCTTCGCGTGTCTGCTTGTCGCTGCATGTAATTTCTTGACCCGACTGTTTATTGCCGTATTGTGGTGGTTGGGCTTAGTGAGATTTGTGTGATCGCAAAGCTTTTGCGGAGTTGGAAGATCGCCTGTTTATCACTTCCTACAGCCTTCGCACTACTTTAAGACCAAGCTCGAAGCAGCTGGTCGATATGTAAGCACCACACGTGGTGTTATCTCCAGGAACTTAACATCAGGTATGCAGCGGCAGATGGCACCATCTGTGTATACGGCCATCCAGAATGCCCTGCAGGCGGCTATCCTCTATGCACAGCAGCAACAGCAGCAGCGGTACGCTATGGCAAATCTGGGCTACTACCCAAACGCGACGGGAATGTTGACGCAGGAGCCAACATTTAAGCGAGGCAAGTCGTTCTCAAGCAATATATGGATTACTTCTATCACCAGCTGTATACGTCCGCGTAGTACTTTTCCTATTGGCTCAACAGAGGTACAGAATTAATTTAACTCAGGATTTGCCGAAACCGAGATGCCTTAAATGAATTAATATTAATAAATTCTTGCCATCTCCAGTTTCCTTTAAATAATCAATCCTCTCCATCACGCCAGCGTAAAGTTGCATTTACTATAGATTGTGATGCTGCAGTATACGCAGTTAGATCTTTTGAAGATAGCTGCTTTAACGCAGCTACCTCTGTCGTCCTCTTATTTCAGTGCAACAAAGTGCTGTCTGTCGTAGATTAGCCTCTCTGCAAAAATAATGAGGACTTCACCGTGGCTCGGTTTCACCGATTGGGCGTTCATTGTCTTCTCTAATAAAGATTACTTCTCTGGTCTGTATAACAAGTACATGGATGTTTTCCTTGAAAGAGACAAATTTGTCTAATTAAATAGAGTACTGCATTATCTTCATGATAGGTAATTTTTGAATAGGGGCCCCAATCGTTCTGGGTACACAAAGAAATGGCGTCGAGACCACTGCACATGCGCGAGACCCAAACCGCGTTTGGGTTTGCGAGGCTATTTGTTCAATTTAGCTAGAGCTCCAAGCATTACCCAAAAAGCTTTGCGTCAAACAAACATGAAGACAATCGTTGAAGCGATGACTCGTGGCCAAGATTATAGTGGTCTAACATAGGGGGAGTGTCGAAAGCGCCACAGACCCTCTTAGAAAACGTTTACCTGCTGCGTGACCCAAAGCAAGTGCACGCAAAAAGTTTTGGGGCCCCAAAGTAAACAGGATTCCACCCAAATTAGTGGAACCCTTTTTACTCGAAAAATTTGTATTACTTTCTTCATCCTTAGAAATTTCTGTCCAAATAGCATGTGTCAGTCATTTTAAAGCAATCCTACGCAGTTTCCATACTACTTTTGAAGTTAACTTTTGCTTCCTTTATTTTTAGATGCATTGCCGACCTCTTTAGTTTTTCTACCTTCTATCTGTGGCTTTTTGAAATTCTTTTATGTTTTTCATTTTCTTTCATTTTCAATATATTGGTTGTTTTTGCTTTTTGAAATTGCACCAAATGTTTGCTTTAAATGTTGATTTAAATCGAGTTCATTCTATTTTACACGTATGGGCCATATTCTCCTAGATGAAAAAGCGAAACAAAACCTCTTGACCTATTGCATATCGCCATACACAGCATGAGGATCATCATCACTAAATGTGGGTGCCAGCGCGTGAGTTGTTCTTCCTCACGAGCCACTCGCCTCGGTGAACTCGAACCGGCTGGAGGCCTCGAAAGACATCGGTAGCCCTGTGAGTATACCCTAGCCCTCTTGTACTCTCGTACTAACTTCCGCATAGCAGATTATCAACTAAGCGCGGCCAAGCCAGTGAGCTCGGCCGGCTAGGCACGGCCTAGTTCATTGCCTAGGTGCGGGCAAGCGTATATATATCAGCTTGACCAGCCGGGCGAGGCCTAGTTAGCACGCCAACTGCTTAACTTAGCTGGTGAAAATACTTTGACCATTGCCAACGGCCAGAAGCTCTTCTGTGAAGCTCACCAGAGACTTGGATTCAGAGCTCCTTCGTTTTACTTCCATTGGGTGGTCGAGAGGTTATCGGACACAGGGAAAATGAGCTCCGAAACTGTGCCACCATTGTGCGATATTTATTTTGGAAAACGGTTTTCCCTGTGTCGGTGCTGGTCAGTACGAAGCTGGGCGTAAATTTTCAATGACCACAGGTTTATTTTGTCTATTTATGTCTTTGACGTTTGACATGATTGCTGTGGGTAGCGTTATTCAGCAGGCGTCATCGGCAGAGTGATGATTGTAATGATATGTGCGGTGTAACGTCCTAAACAACGATATGATTATGAACGACGTCATAGTGAAGCGCTCCGAAAATTTCGACCAACTGGGGTTCTTTAGCGTGTACCCAAGTCTGAGCACATGGGCCTAGAGCATTTTCGCCTCCCCTGAAAATGCAGCTGCTGCTGCCACAGGGATTCGATCCCGCGACCATCGGGATCGAGTCGCGATTTTAGCCACTTGACCACCGCGGTGGGGCAATGAGCAGCGTGGGAAAGCTGCCGCAGTATGCCACAATTGAAAAACACCTTTGAATGGTAACATCGCAATGCAGCTCCTGCGCTTAACGGCAGTATGAGAGAGCACCCTGTTAGGAATTTTGCTCTGTCGCGATGGTAGCGGTGGCGAAGAGCGACGAGCCGTCGAGCGGACTTCGCTGAAGTCTTAGCCCGAAGGTGAAACAGGGAGGCAAATTGTTTTGAAAACAGCAACAAAAGTAGCGTTTACTGTAGCAGGTTGTCGTTTGTACAGAGCCGGCCAGCACGACAACGTCGGCTGGGGCAAAATCCTTTAACATGGGGCCAGCACGGCCTTAAATAGCGTTTTTGGACTCTTCTGCGATACCAGTTCTTCGGAACGGCACAGTGGCTCGGAGGGGAGACGTAGTCATACCCGGAACTGCAAGGTGGTTCGGCGGAGGAAGGGACGTTATCCCCGGAACTGCACGGAAGGCGGCGCTGGGAGGGGGGGGGGGGAGACAGCTCGTCGGAACAGCGCTCGATCTCGTGAGACGTGCTCCCGAACGAGGAACATGTCTGTGGCACAACAGCACCCCCGCCACCAGACAATGCATCCGGAGTTTTGAGCCGTCAGCGCGGCTCGGAAGGAAGGATGCTGATTGACCGTCGGTAGCCGTTCCGCTCTCTCCGCCCGTTGAGACTTCCATAGGCCTGCACAGGTTCACTGGAACGACGGAGTCGAACACAAAGCCGAACCACTCCGACCAAAGCAAGCACCCTCCAGATGCTGATCAAATCGCCAGACCAGCAGGAACCAAATGTTTCCTCGAGATTACGCTGGGCTAACAATTAGCATCACGAGCAACGAATCTCGGGAGGAATACACAGTGCTGACACTCCTTTAGCTAAGTGTCAGTGCATGACACCGCTAAACCAAACAGAATTTTTTTTTGTTTTCAAGCGATTCTCAATTGTAATTTAGGCAGAATCTGGATGATCGAAGCTTCTGAGGATTGTTGAATTTAGCACCGAAACTACAATTTAGTACACCGAGCAATCCTGAACCACGCACATTGGCGTCGCCTGCAAGCGTCATATTGTCAACTTAACAAAGTTCGCCCTCCTACAAGCTCTCTTTTCAATGCGCGCAGCCAATATGATCAAAACAAGATAAAACACGCTTGAAAGTAAGACAATAAAAGTAAAAATTATGAAATAAGAATGAAATAAGAACGAAAGAATGAAACTTGCATGCGTTATACAAAACAAAGTTAACAGTTAACCTACACTGACGTGCATAATAACACTTAATGCTAACCACAGAAGGTATCTTAGACAGGGGCTTTTAATGTGCCTTCTCTGTTAAAATAAAGCACCCTAACTGGTACCTTTGAAATTTTATGAAAAAAATTTTAATCGAACAAACATATTAATGTGAGCTTCTTCGATGACAAGGCAAGTAAAACTTACAAAAAATTAGAACCATTCCTTGCTCATCGGCAGAAGACAAAACTAGAAAAAGTTATTCTCAAAATTAAATACAAAAAATACACTCTTCGTATTAGCGAGGCGGCTTTCTCTCAAGCGAACTCTGGCGAGTCGCGCACTCCACAGCTTCTGAGGGTTGTGGTCTGGACAAAAGGACGACGCATCAACCTGTTCGCCGAACTCAGTAGCAGCGACTTTTGACCCGCAGCCGCTGAACTCGAAGAAAGGGGCATCTGCACTGCATCGCTTACGCCGCCCGTTCGACCAGTAACCCCCTCGCCACGGTGGCGAACTACAGCCTTTGTTACAACTCAGAGGTACGCGATGTTTCCTCTCGTGGTTGCCTCTACGCGGCTTCAAAATTTGTAAGGCCAGGCGAAGATCTCGGCGTCCGAATTTTCCCGAAAGCCGGTTTTTCTGAACACGCTGTCCGCCAAATCTTGATGTGCGTGACAATCTGCGCTTCAAACATTTCATGGGA